ACAGGTGATGGCTGAGCCACAGGCGCAGAGGAGACTGTCATTTGTCTCACATCTCTCCATCAGCTGCTGGGGCTGCCAGCCTGCGAGTTCCCCGTAGCCTGCCATGCAGCGCAGCAGTGCCCATGATGAGAGACAGGCTCCCTTGTCGCAAGGCCCTCAAAGTATAGTCCTTGTACCTCCTCTCTAACTGCCACACTACCAAGTGGAAAGAGCCTGCATCTCATCTTCACCCACTTTCTTTTTCTCCAACTTTGAACTTCATCTGTGGGGAGAGCATAGGTGCTGTCACTGTCACCTAACGTGGTGGATGCTTTCTTTCCCAGGAGGCATTTTTGTAGACTCTTGATACAGCCAGTCTGTCACTTGTCGCAGAACTGCCTGCTTCTTAGACTGACTATAGATTTTAGCCAATCTCACTTTTCTTTGAAAGGTTTTCTTCCCAAATACCAAGTCACATGTTCAGAACAACAACGACAGTGATGATGATGATAAATTTTTCCCATGAATCAGACCCCACACTAAGCACATTAGATATATTATCTTATTTAATCCTCTCAACTCTCATGTGATACATTCTGTCATTGTCCTCATTGTACAGAGGAGAAAACAAAAGCTTAGGAAGGTTAAATAGGTCCACAATCACAAGGCTGGCGAAGTTCAGCTCCTTTCCTGGCCCCTGCTCAGCGGCTCTTCTACAGCTCAGCCTGGGCACTGAGCCGGCCTCAGGCAGGCCTCCCAGCTTCTGGGACTGCTCCCAGGACTGCTTTCATCCTCCCGAGGCGCCATTCCCCAGGGCCACCTGCACAGTCCATAGGTGCGGCCCACCTTATCTGATGGTGGGTGTTGAGTTGGTAGAAGCCTCCGGTCTTAGCCAGCCTGCTTCTTCCACCTCTCTGGGCTCTCTGGGGAGAGGGAGTCAGCATGAGAAGCCTCTGCCCCAAGCCCGGCCTGCTCGAGACCTCCAGGGAGCAATCCACCCTGTCTCAGAGCCCAGCCTGTTCCCAGAAAGGCTGTCAGCACCCTACATTACATGGTTAAAACCATGCCTGATCTTGGTGGGTGTTTTAAATGAATAAAGAATTCAAGTCTGGTCTTTAAATGCCACAGAGAAAGAAAAAGTTACTGTCTCTTCAGAGTGCCCATTGTGATTTGTCCTTAGAGCTCCCCCTCCATGGTCCTTTTTCCACTTGAACTGACAAACTGGACAACCAGATAAATACAGATGCAAAATGAATAGTATGCATAGGATTTCCTTCCCTCCCAGCTTTACCAAGTCAAAAAGCAAGGCTTCTTGACAGTGTCTATCCTAGCGTAAAGCAAAGGGCGGATCAAGTCTGACAATCTGATGTACTTGAAAGTGAAATGTGGAGGGTAATTATCCTGTTTGACTAGACTGTCTATCTTAGCCAAGTATGTGCCATTACTTCCCCCAACAGGTGGTGGTTCTGCCGCTAGGCATCTGTGTGATCTCGATACCTCAGTTTCCCCCAGGGATTATGTACACAGGGATTATATCCAAGATCTCTGAGTTGCCTGAAAGTTCTCTGTGTCTTTGTTTTGTAACAAAATATGTCACTTACAGGTCAGGTAATTTAGGGTAGACTATGTGAATAAAAACAGTCCTCCATAAACTTTTTTCCACATGATTACTTTATGGAGGAAGTGTCTATTGTGCACTGAAAGTGGGATTCAATTTACAAAAAAAAAATCTGACTTGTGGCCAACTTTTAAGTGATACTTTCATTGTTTAAAGTGAGGCTTTCCATCATACCACAGTGATACATGTGCACCTATGTTTATAGCAGCACAATTTGTAATTGCCAGATCTTGGAAACAACCCAAGTGTCCATCAACTGAGGAATGGATAAAAAAGTTGTGGTATTTCTATACAATGGAGTATTATTCAGCTATAAAGAAGGATCACATTGAGATATTTATCAATAAATGGGCGCAGCTTGAGACCATACTCATAAGTGAAATAAATCAATCTCGCAGTGTGAATACCGAATAGTTTCCCTAATGTAAGTAATGATTCAAATATATAAAAATATGTGGTAATCATGATTCCCCATTATGTGGCTTTGAGGCCTTATAAAGTTTTCACTTATTAATTAGAAAGGCTTTATTCTGGGCTTCTTGATATAGAAATATTTGAAGCTATAGTATATGAAGTTTTATTCAAATATTTCAAGGAAAAAGACAGACACTATGGTAACTACTATTAAGCCGGGTTATTTGGTGGTGAAGCACTAGGTTGCTGAAACAGTCATGCTTTGACCTGTATTGTTATATTGTTATGTCCTCTTTTATCTCAATCTCTCCCTTATTCATTAAAAAAATTAGTTATTTTTTATGGTTTTTTTTAATTAAGGGGGAAAATTTTAAAAATTAGCAGGATATATAATAGTAACTTTTTTTGATTTCCTATTAACTTGTTTTGAAGTCCTGTAATACTCCCACTATCTTGTTTTGACTGATTAGACTCTGTTCCATTCTGTATGATAGTATCAAGTTTGGGGTATAGGCAACTACTTTGAAGGCAATAAGATTCACTAAGATGCCCATTCTGGTTTGACTATAGTCTCCTTTGGAAGTCCTGTAATGTTTACAATGCTTAAGTTTTATTGGTCTTGTTCTCTATTGTTTTGTTCAACTTTATAATACCTAATAAGATAGACAATTCTTTTTAAGGAAACAAGAGACATTATGGTAACCATTGTTGATAACCTTGTACTCTGTTCTTACATCATGTACTATGTCTATCCTTGGTTTTGACTGACAGCTTTGTTTTGCCATATTTGACTTTATTCTCTCCCAAAAAAAAAGTAATAAGAACTAAGGAGTAATAAAACCCAAAATGTGTAAATTTTGTTGTAAAAAAGAGAGGGGAAAAAAAGTGCTCTAAAGGATACAACAGCAAGTGTGTTTAGGGGTGTTAAATAGCTGACCATATTAATGTTTTTGGTTGGATCATTGAACACAACTGTTTGCAGTCTCACTGTTTGAATGTCCACTTTGTATGCTTTGATACTGTGACTTAAGCAACTATCTCTAAGATGATAATATGTAATCTATTAACTGGTGATTTCTTACTGTCTTTTTTTTTTTTTTTTTTGTAGTTCTGTATTACTTGCACCCTTACACCACTTTGTTTTGTTTTGTTTTTTCTTTTTCCTTTTAAATAAAATAAAAATAAATAAATAAATAAAGTGAGGCTTTCCCATAGATCATAGTTTCTAAAAACACTATCACATACATTCTCTTCCACACAGTCCTTGACAGGGAAGCAGTAGTAGAATCTGTTTTTAAAAGTTGACTTCTCTTGGACTAAGGCTTTCTATTGTTTTTTGTCCCTTACAAAAAAGAACATATTCACAAATCTTCCAAAACTGGCTTAGTGATAATAACTTTTTGAAATAAGCACACCAGATAATATCACGTCTCTGCCTCAAACTCTCCTGACACTCTCTAGGGCACGGACGGGCCTTTGCACATTCTGTTCCCTCCATGTGGAACACCGTCAACAGCACTGCCCTTTTTTCTTGCTCTCCTGGAAGTCAGCTAATCACTGCCTCTTCAGGAACTGTCCTCTGACTTCCTGGAATAAGTCCTTAACTATAACCCTGATGTGCAATGTGAGGTTTATTTGTCTGAGCACAAAGTCATCATGAACAGCCTATGTGTTCTCTTGTCACTCGTACAGACATGCTGGCTGCCCCCGCATGCACAATGCTTCCCAGGCACATGGATTTCAATGTAGGGCTTCCACTTTCATGTAACCTTCAGTCTCCTGGAGTAAACAGACAATAGTCAAATATGAGAATGAATACACCTGCCACTTCCCTCCCCTTACAGAGCATGCAGGGAGTTAAACAAGTGATTGGAGTTAGTGCGAGGTCAACCTGGAGAGGGAAGCACAAGTGGCAATATTTCCAACTCCCAAAAGGATGAGCTTAAGGCGTAGTCACATCTTTGTTCAAACAATTCATTCAGCACTTTTTCAGTCTAAGAAGCAGGAGGAGAAAAGATCATAGCCTGACGTGCCAGGCTGGCGGTGCCAGTGCGGGTGATGCTACCTGCAGCATGAGCAGAGGAGCAAGGGTTGTATCTTTCCCTCTCTTCCTCCACCCTGAGTATTCCCACCCTCTCATCCTGGAACACCTACCCCAAGACCAGCATCTTTGGTTTTTGCTTCTCTAACTGAATCTCTTTTCCAAGGGTGCATCTCTTTTCCAGTATGTATTCCAGTAAACTAGCCTCCACTTCCCTTTCATTTTCACAGCATGTATACTAGCATCCCCATTTTGCAGACAGAGGAGTAGTCATCCATAAAACAAGCTAGTTTCCAACAGAACTGGGATACCAGAGCCAGGTTTAACACTCCCTGTCTAGCATTCTCCCCAATATCGATATCACAGCTCCGGGGCTAAGCCAGGCCTTTTTCAAAGCCCCAGGAAGCCAAAGTTGGTTGCCTCCTGCTGGTGAAGGGTTCCTTCCAGGCTTCTGGTGCTACTGCCAAAAAAGGGAGGGTGTGAGAAATGAGCAGGGGACTGACTCTACACAGAGAAGCGTTTGCACAGTCTGTGCTTCTGTTGCCCTTCCTGGTCCTTGAAGGAGGCATGGGTTATGTGTACGGGGAGGAGGGATTATGAAAATCAATAACTCATGGCAGTTGATCAGTGTCAGAAAAGTATTCACCCACATTTGTCCCCTGAAAGTCAGATTCTCCATGTGTTCACATTTGTCTTTCACCAAAGGCATCAACCAGGTGGACTCAGCAAGAAATACCCAGGCTTTAGCCGAATGCTGTGGAGAGTTTCAATTAACTTCATTTTTCCAGCCAGGGCTGGCGTGGCAGCTAGTTTTTCTTACGAGGTTGTTTGTACATGAAAAGCAAATTCCCAGAGGTTCCCCAGATTGCCGAGATCCTATGCAAGATGCCTGCTCCCTCCCACCTGCCCACCCACCCACTAATAAGACATAATGCTGGCCTATTTTTGGTAACAATTAAAGGGCCTCCCGGTGAAAGCAGAAAGCTGTTTATTTTCTGTTACATCACTTCACTTTGCCTTCGAAGACTGGTCTGCGCTCAGTGTTTTCTGGTGATGCAAGTCAGCTCTCTTCCCCTAGCAGTTGGATCGCTCCCATCTCACAGCACCTCACAGGTCTCTCCCTCGGAGCCGCGCACTGCTGGAGCGAGGAGCCGCTCACGAATCAGCTGCAGGTCCCTGTTTTGAAAAGCAGAGATACAGAGGCAGAGGAAAAGGGTGGACTTCTATGTGACCTCTTCTGAAAGCAAGACAACCACCATCCGAATTCCAGAAGCCCTGTTCATGTGTGGGGATATTTTTTCGACTACACAGAATCAAAAAGAAGCAAAAGGATGGGAAATGCCTGCATCCCCCTGAAAAGAATTGCTTATTGCCTGTGTCTCTTATCTGCGCTTGTGCTGACTGAGGGGAAGAAACCAGCGAAGCCAAAATGCCCTGCTGTGTGTACTTGTACCAAAGATAACGCTTTATGTGAGAATGCCAGATCCATTCCACGCACCGTTCCTCCTGATGTTATCTCACTGTAAGGCCCGTAAGCATTTTGATATCTAATTTATGATTTGAAAATTCCCGTGAGTGTATGTGGGGCTTTGTATGTATTGGTAGAAGGCACGGAGAGAGGGAGAGAGGGAGAGAGATTCCTTTTGCATGCCTGGCCCTTTGACAGTGCTAACATTTTGCTGCATTTAGGATTTTGGATTTTTTATTAGTGGCTCCTGATGCCTAGATACCCTCCACCCTGAACATTATTATGAGAAACCTGTAGCAGACCCATCCCTCTCACTTCATCTGGGAAGGAGCTGTATTGTACTTCATCAAATAGTGTCAAAATAGTGACTGTTATGCTAAACCAGATTAACATAAGGTTTGTTCTGTGTGTCTCTTTGTGTGTCTGTTTGTTTTTTGTGTTTTGTTTTCTTTCAGATCCTTTGTGAGATCTGGTTTTACTGAAATCTCAGAAGGGAGTTTTTTATTCACACCATCGCTGCAGCTCTTGTGAGAAATATTTATATCATGACTATTTTTAATATGGCATATATTCGGATGAGCCTTCTAGTAAAATGAACTCAGTTTTAGTTTTGTTGAATGTGGTGATATTTCTGAAAAGAAAGGATATCAGTAAAGTGAGAGGTAGATGGGGCTTGTCTGCAACTTTATACCAACAGTGCAGGTTGATTCTTGCAGTGATAAATTTGTTAACCTGAAATGCTGTCTACTTTAAAGGCTATTTATGAAGTTGTTGGAATATTGCAACCAGGATCTCAATTCTATTCCACTATTTTACTTTCATTTTTAACTTGGGAACTTTGATTATTTTGCCCTGGAGTTTTGCATTTGTCAATACAGAGTCCAGCATAACATATGCGCTCAAGATGTTGTCTCCCAGGGATCTGGGCAGGCTGCTACTCTGTGTGATTTACCATGTGGGAAATAAAAAAGGGAAAAATGGATCTTTCTAGGTAATTCCTTAAAATATCAACTCTCAAAAGACTAATTTCTAATCTCCTCTAATTTATAACTAGTTTCCTCACAAGGAGGGAAAGAAAATATTAAATAGCCTCTCACACAGGATTATTCTTTGCTATATATTTTGAGTTGGCCACAAGGGAAACACATATTCAGTCGATGCCTGAAAATAGTCAAAGAAATAATATTTGACCAAGGAATCAAATATCTGCTCAGGCATAACATGATGTGTATAATTTATTTTGATGTGTAATGTTTGACAATCAAAGTTCTAGTTCTTAGGGAGGTATCACACGAGGGTCAAGAAAGGTGTTCATGCATCAGGCAACAGACTTGGGTTGGTACCTAACTGGTGGCAGAGAAGTTAAGTCAGTCAATTTTATGCTGAGTTTGGGGTATCTTAACTACATAATTTAGGACCCTATTTTTTGGGTTTTGTAGGGTATTGCTTTTTGTCTAGACTATTTTGGCTGTTAGGTATACACAAGATTGTACATACCCAGGCAAACACCCATTGCTCACTAAAATTTAGATATGTAGTCTGCAGATTATGAGTATTACTCAGCCTCAGTCTCCTTATCTGTAAAATGGAGATGATAGTACATATTTTGAAAGGTTTTTATCAGAGATAAAAAAGAATAAGTAAATAAAACTCGGTTTGTAAATGGTGCAGTTTAAAATTTTTACATAAGTCTAAAAGTTATTCAGTTGATCATTTTGTCTGAGTGAAATCTTATTTTAGTTTCCAAACTTGACAAGGTGTTTTGACATTATGTAATGATGTTGACTAATGTCCTTTTCCTGGCTAATATCTTTGAGTGATTAACAATTGAGTGGATTATACCTAAGGGGTTTATCTGTTTGACTGATGACCAACAGTGTGCTTAGGGGAAGTGTTAGCACATCAAACAAATTCAAAAAAGATGGCCCTTTTTTAGTACAACAAGGGGTAAAGTTTCTAAATCTGGGAACTTTACATAGGATGAGAATTTGTGGTGCCTGGAAAAAGGATGAATTGTGCTTATGTTGCTCATTTGTTAAACAAATAAACAGCTGAAAAGCATATTTTTGATGTACAAAGGTACCTCCTCCCTCCTCACAAGATAATTAAATAGACCAGCCCATAAAAGTTAAAAGTCTCAGTCTTACAACTGCTCATATCCTGACATTAGATAAACATTAGCCTGGATTGATCAACCTAATCAGTTACCACATCTCCACTTTGTTTTTGTTGGGTGGACACAATGACAACAAGCACAGATGCTGGACAGTGTTATAGAAATAGTTACCGGCTGCTGCAGGGCAATGTGATTACACACATTTAGAATCACAGAACGAAGCCAAGGGACTGGTTTTAAATAGCCCATACTGAGTGTGTACCATACCCCTCTATCCCATGCTCCAAGTTCTTATGGAACATTCCAGCCCTTCTTTCTAAAAGCAGTTCAGGTTTTAGAAATAACAAAAGGCCCAACAGTCTTGCCCTGTGTGTCCTCAGTCGATTCACATTCCCTAACCTCCACATTTGAGATTTATGTTACAATGATCTCACACAAAATTCTCAGGGGTCAAAGTGAGCTTCTATCTCTAGGACCCTATTCCTTGGGACTTTGTTCTCCATTCTTCCTGCCCAACGTTCTCTGCTTCACCTTGTCTTCAAGAGAAGGTTGACAAGCTCATTTTCACTGAGTAAGAATTAAAAACTAAAGCTGCTATTTTGAGCTGTACTATGATCATAACATTTGTGAGAATGCATGAATTACAAGCAGCGCAGATTCTTCTGTGGGATAGAGCTGTCCAGAGCCCTGAAATCCTGCCATGCACTGCCAACTTTGCCATAGAAACATAAAGACCAAGAAATCATCAGGCCCAGATCCCACAAGTTGTTTCTTGGCATTGGCAATGAATATAACTGTTTCCAATGCTTTTGTAACTGTGGACCACAAACAGGCTTCATAAATGTGAAGAGATAAACTTTTGAATCAATTCTGTTTGACTGATGTTCAGAAGCAGTTGATATCTTGCTCTGTTACCGGAAAAGAAAAAAAAAAATGTCTATCATACTCTTCACCTTAACAGTCTGATAATTTTGTTATGGCCCCAAATATTTTTTTCAGCCCTCTGTAGAAAGCATGATGAGAAGTATTTTGCAAAATGTCCAGATATAGCACCTCAAGTTATATGCAGTGTTTGGGAAAAGATTCTGATGGGTTATGGCTGCAGTTTGCATTGGATGAAAAAAAATACTTTGTACAATGGAGAAAAACATTAAAAATATATCATAAAATGTATCAGGTTACTTGTAAAATTTTTTTGAAATCTCATTTAAAATCTTTAAAAATTAAGAAAAAACATATACCAAAGAAATTCATATTTTTCACTGGGACAGTTTGAAATATAACCAAGAGAATGATTTTATATTCTAGTTTGCTCTTAGTGATAGAAAGTGATACTTTTAGTGAATACAATTTAGAGAAATGTGTTTTCACACATTACGTCCCTGTTTCTTCTCAACTACAGATTGAAATCCCCAGTGATACAGATTTAAGACAGAAGTAAGATTCAAATTACCGGTAAAATGTGGCTATACTGCCATTCACTAATGAACTAAGTTCTTGAAACTCCTAAGAGGATTCACTGCAGGAAGTGAATTCCAGAGGTAGCTTTAGGATCACTCATTAAAAAAAGAAAATAATTCAATATGGCTAGAAAAAGATCTGTTTATTGCAATGAGATTTGATCTTATTTGTTTGGAACACTGAGTTGACATTTCTGGTGGAAAATAACATTTTTAAAAATTAACCCACAGTTGATACATATGGAGATGGTCCATGAGAAATTAAAACCCAAAACTAAATAGGAAAGCAAACAACATAAATGAAAAAATAACAAGCCTTATGTTAGTAAAGTTTTAACCATTTGATCTTTCAAAATACCACTTGTTCCAAAAAAATATGCATGGTCTATCTCACCATTTAAAATGATTGCCCTCTTTCATCTTATTACGTGTAAGAAAAGTTTTACAGTCCTCAAGAGCCACTAAAGCCTGACCTATCAGCTATGATGTTATTTTGAGAAGTGTTTAGCTGGTTATATATAGATGAGTATGTTTTGGTTTGTGCCCAGTGGGTGTCTCACAATGATGGATTCACAATTAAATTTTAGTCATTGAGGCTATTTAGTTTCCATTTTGCTCAATGATTCATAGGTCTATTTTTTTAATTTTTTAATTAATTCTTTTTTTTTTTTTTTTTTTTTTTTTTTTTGTCTTTTTGAGACAGAGTCTTGCTATGCAATTCAGGCTGGCCTTGCACTCACTTTGTAGCCCAGGCCAGTCTCAAACTTGCAATGGTCCTCCTGCCTCAGCCTCTTGAGTGCTGAGATTACACGTGTGTGCCCAAATTAATTCTTATGATTGGGAAACTGGCTCTCTATGACAAATGTTTTTCTCTGAAATTGTGTTGGACTCTTCCAGTTTTTATGACAAGAAACCCAACAGTCTCCACCCTTCCTATTACTACCTATTTGCAGCTGGTCAAGTCCCCTCTTAATCAATAGGGGAAGCTACTTGTCCTTCTGTCCCCTAGGCCAAGGCTGCGTACAGTTTCCGCACCACCTAATGGGCTCTCAGTTCTCTCCCCAGCCATCTCTGCCAGCATTACCTCTCATCACAGCATTTTGTGTGCTTGGAAAGCCCTTAATGGTTTCCTAGGAACAGAGAAAGTCTGAACACCAAAGCTGGTGCTAATAACATTTGCCCTTTTCCTATTTGTTAAGAGTGTCACTTGACATTGACCTGAAACACCCACCCCTTATACATGCAAACTCTATCCACAGCTCACTTGGTGATCTATTTCTCAGCTTATACGTACTTTACTGATGTCTAGTTTTACTGGAATTATTCATGCTTTTATCCATTCCATGTTTATCCTGGAGAATTGCCAATATGATGGTCCTGGGGAAAAGTCTAGGTGTTACAATCCAGACGTTGCTTCGTATTTCATGAATCCAATCTATATTTGCATAAATTTCCTCTAAAGACTAATATTTTACTTCCCATAGAAATTGTGGTCATGTCCACCTACTTTATTAATTTGGTATACTTATCTGAAGTGGCAGGGAAAGTGAACTGTCTGGAAAGTGAACTGAACCGAGAAAATGCAAAGAGATGTTTCCTCCCCAAACTTCTTCAGCATACTTTCCAGAACTTCAAAAGTGAAGCATCTAAGTCTCTCCTGAAGTCATTGCTTAAGTCTGCCATCCTGACTTCATCTTTAACCTCCTGATTGGAGGTTCACTGGTCTGTGACTCTCCTATGAAAGAAGAGTTCCCTAATGGAAAATATTCATTAAAATGAAAAATATTCACACAGAGATGATTTCCTTGTTAATTTACCTGTATCTGTTTAGTTTAGACAAATATTTACCAAATACTTGCCCACAGTAACAAGTGAAAGCAAAGCCTCCTACCTTATCTGCATGGTTTGAAGTTCTACTGTGCAGAGGTACAAGGCTGGTGTTGTGAAGAAC